GAGCTTGAAGAAACTGAGGTCAAACAGGCCCCAGGGCAAGGCCAAGCAGAGTCCTGCCGCTTCCAGGCCATTCTTGGCTACTGTATGTGTGGCATGGGGGGAGGGGTCGAAGCCCCTTGCTGTTTCTCTGTCACCCCAGCCGTAGCCACTTTGAAGGGATGGCCAAGTGAAGATTTGCCAAGTGAAGATTTGCCAAGTGAAGATTTGCCAAGTGATTGCACCAAAAGAGAGATGCAGAGAAACGTGCATCCGTGTGGCGGTTTGTCAGCTGCACCACAAAAGTGACACTGGGGGAGGCGGTGGAAGTCAGTGACTCAAAGCAGGTTCGGGGATTATCTGCTGTTTTCAATTATCCACATCCCTCATCACCATGGAGAATTGAGAATTGGGTGTATTGGCCTCCCCCTCAACGCTGTCGCTGGCATTAGAGACGTGATTTGTACTTGGAGCAACTGTGGGTAAAGGACTCAAAACGGTCTCTGTGTAAAATTTCCCCAGCACTGAAATGTCATTAAATAGCTCTCTGCACCTGGCACCTCTTGGTCCCTTTAAAAATAGCTAGAAGATAAACATGTCTAAGAAGGAGAGAACTGACAATTATTGAATATCTTTGTGGTACTCAATACTCATTCTGAGCCAGGGAAACTTCAACTCAGACAGATTAAGTGACTTGCCCATGACTTGTCACAGTGTGGGACAACAACATGGAGCCATTTTGCCACCCTGCCCCTCTCAGAGAACCCGGACCTCCCTTAATGGTGGACCATCTTGGACCTCCCTGTCTGTATCTGCTAAGATGCTTTCCATGGCCAGGAAAGAAAACCCTACTCAAGAGAACTGAAAAACAAGGACATTGATTATCCCCCCACTCTAAGAACCCAAGAGGGAGAGCAGTTCCAAGGCTCATTAAGTTGGTGGCAGGTGTCACCATGACATCAGTTCTTTCTGATTTTCTGCTCTGCCTCCTTAGCATATTGATCACAAGGTGGCCACAACACATCCAAGCATCCCATCGTTGCCCTTCCAAGTCAGAGACAAGGAGAAGCAGCCCTGTTGGGATCTCTTTTAAATAAAAGAGAAAACTGTCCCAGAAGTCACTTTGCTTCACATCTCACCGGTCAAAAATGAATCACATACTCAGACTCAACCCAAAGGGTGGTAGGGGCGCCATGTTGGGTAGTTAGGGGCGCCATGTTGAGTAGGTCAGGGGGGCCTTACATCCTCTGAAGCAGGTGCTAGCCAAAGGAGTGTGGATGTGGGTGGTAGGGAGAGGAACTCAAAGAAAATGTAGGGGGTGTTCCTAGCTCCTAGACAGACAAACGCCGCATCCACCACATCTGTCCAGCCAGCCAGAGGTCTGGATGCACCATCTTGTAAGGGCTCTTGTCCCCAGTGCAGCTCCCCAGCATGGACCCTAAGGATATGTGCCAGCTCAGTGTCCTCGAAGCTCAGATAAGAAGGGGTGAGGCAGCGGCTTGCACCCAAATGGGAACCTGCTGGCCCTATTGTGAGCTTATCTGGAGGACACACACGACTGGCTTCATTAGAGAGATTTGGAAAAGAAATCTCATTAAAGATTTGTTCTATCACATACCAAGGAAGCAAAGCCTTCGGTAAAACTTAGCAAGCAACGCAAGTGATGTGAACAACTGCGCGGCGCCAAGGTCTTTAATTTCCTGTAGGAAGCCTGATGATTATCTGTCTGGAAATGTCTCAGCTCAAGTAGGGATGTGCGAGAACCAGGGCGAAGGAGCCTTTTGTAGTTCCATGTTTTCAGTCCAGACTCTTTAAAAAGATCTCCTTGTCAAGGGAGGTTAGTTCAGCTCAGAGCACTCACCAACTCGGCCCTCTCCCAATGCCCAGAAGGGCAAGCTGGGGTCCCTCAAGTGGAAGGACACAAAAGGGTGATCCTGGGGTAGCCATGAGATATGGGAAGGAGAAAAAGGGAGAGCGAACAGAGAAGCACCCCAAGAGACAGCAGGAGGCACAAAGTGAGACCAAGAGAGGGGGGAAAAAGAAATGGTGGCACCTGCCTATCATCCCAGGGACTCAGGAGGCTGAGGCAGGAGGATTGCAAGTTCAAGACCAGCTTCAGACCTTAGCAAGGCCCTGTCTCAAAGTAAAAAATAAATAGGGCTGGTATGTGGTTCAGTGATTGAGCACCCCTGGGTCCAATCCCATATATATATATATATATATATATATATATATAGAGAGAGAGAGAGAGAGAGAGAGAGAGAGAGAGAGAGGAATAAAGAAAGAATGGCAAGAAGAGAAGGAAGAATGCAGAAAACTGCAGGGTAGAAAGAGAGAAAGAAGAAACAGGAAAGAGAGGAGATGCTCCAAAACCCTTTGCACGTTTTCTCTTTAACACTACTATTTACCCGTTGGAATCCACCCCCACCCTGGGTCACCTCTGGACGCTGCTCTTGCTTTCTGCATGAGGATGAAAATCCAGGGTTCCCACATGTTTTTCTAGCCCAGCAGGATCCAGATGCTTCCCCTTCCTGCAGCTGGTGGCACTGATGGGTCAAGGGGCATTATTCAAAGAGGCCTTGATCCCACGTGACTCTCAGTTAAATGCCGAGTAAGAAGACAACCAGAACGCAAAGGTGTTATTCTTATTTCATGGGTTCAGCTCTCTGAACTCAGCTCCTCATCCTGATTTTCTGGCTGGAATGAGGACAACAGTCTATAAATAATCTACATATTCCATCTTCCCGTATTCTACACGTAAGCACCTCCAAAAATAACTCCCAAAGTAGTATAGGCTCCATTTCCCTTATCTGCTGCCTACAGGTCTCTTATTCATCCCTCAAGGCCCTGTTCAAATGACCCTCCCCTGGGAGGTCCCGCCAGACCCCCAAGCCCCAGACTGGGTCAGCTACTCCCCCTGCCCTATGCCCCCTGCTGTTCTGGACCAGAGAATTCGAAATGAATAATATGTATGTCCACCTTGAAGAGTTCACCTTCATGACCTCTACCGAGGCCCTTTTTGCAGCACATTACAATTAAGTGTTGACATGCCCCAGCATCTGGATCAATGCCAGGAACACGGTGGAAACACCACAAGTATTTATTGAATGAATAAATGAGTAAATAAGTAAGTCTACCTTCCTGACTAGATTGGGAACTGCTTGACTTCTATGAACAACTGACTCTCAGGACTTCAGAGCAGAAAAGGTATTTCATGCCTAGTCCAGCTCTCAAATATCACAGTAGGGTTCATTACAAATATGACCAACAGAACCGAGTGGTTAACAAGTTTAGGTTTTTTTGGTTTTGTTTTTTGGTACTGGAGACTGAACCCAGGGGTATTCTACCACTGAGCCACATCCTCAGCCCTTTTTCTTTTTTATTTAGAGACAGGCCTCGCTGAGTTGCTTGGGTCCTCATTAAGTTGCTGAGGCTGGCTTTGAACTAGCGATCCTCCTGCCTCAGCCTTCCAAGTCGCTGGGATTACAGGTGTGCGCCACGGTGGCTGGCCCCTGTTTTATTAGACAATGCTGTGTTGTTCCATCATAATCCCTGTGCGCTTCGCCTTTCATTCCTCCTGGGTAGTTGGGTGGTGGTCCGGGTCCAACCATCATGAACACCACTGCTGTGAATTTCCAGCAAGTACACAGGTGTGGTTAGAGATTAAATTCTCAGTGACAGCATCATCCACAGCCTTCAGAAACACTGAAGCTTGGCCAGCTTCCGTGAAAGTGAGGATATATGCTCCAGATCCTGCCAGTGGACTGTACACGTGACTCTGGTGACAGTGGCACCACTGTGTCTGTGTGCATATGAAACATAATGATCCCCAGAAGTCTGGGACCTGGCCTGTCTTGTTGCCCTTCAGCACCCAGAGCCCAGCACAGGACCTGGCATGTGACAGATGAATGACAGCTGTTGGATGGATAGATGAACTACACCCGGGTGCCTCAGCACTGTGATTGAGCCTCAGGCTTACGTGTATATTAAACTCCCTGGCTGCAAAAATGGAAGCCCAAGCCTCTGGGGAAATCTAAGGATGCTGTGTGCTAATGGCAGGAAATTGTTCCAAGACCTTGGGTTAAAAATGCCACATTGCAGCCAGCCACACCGTGCCCCCAGCTGAGCAGAAAATGCTAACGAATTGTGATGAGCGGATACGTACAAGCCCCTCCCAACTCCTGGGGTCCCTGTTTCCCCTCTCACACCCCGAAACGTACACTGAATATCCACAATGCCCCCCTCTGCTTCCATCTGGGATAACCCATCAGAGCTTCGACAGGGGCTAAGTTACAAACAACCAACAGGATTTTTCCCTTGTCATCCAAGGAGCGGGCCTGGGTGCTGGGTGTTCAACCCACACATCAGCAACCCCAGAGTGGTCTCCCGTCATTTGTTCTGCAAACATTTCTGGGGCCCCTGCTGTTCTGGACCAGAGACTTTGAGACAAATATGTCCACCCTTGAGGACTTCACCTTCATGTCCCAAATAGACTCGGTGAGTCTCCCCAGACTATCCCCTGGCTCAGGATCCTCCACCTCAGGCAGAGCCCCCTTTCCCACCCCCCAGATGATGGGAGACATCCCAGGCACCTGCTCCTCCCCACCCATGGACCCGGTCTTGGGAACACTCTCAGCGCCGCCCTCCTTCCTGTCTACCTCTCGAGTTGGTGTCACTACCTGGCACCTCCCACGTGGCCTGCGCCTTCAAATCCATCTTTTGAAAATGCGAGTCCGGTCCCACGGCTCCTCTGCAGAGAACCCCTCCTGGCCTCCCAGGCCCAGTGTCAAAGCCACATCCTTCCTGCAGCTCCACGATCCCCCGTGCCACACTTCCCCACTCCCGAGCCACTTCTGCTCGCCAGCCACACCAGCTCCCTCTGTGCCCAGGGCCCCCTCCAGGCCTGGAAGGCCACCCACCCTCTCCCCACCTTCTTCTTTGCTGGGCCACCAACTCCTCCCCATCCCTAGAGACCCTACGTCACTTCCTCAAGAAAGGCACCCAGGAGGCTGGGCCCAGTGGCACACACCTGCAATCCCAGCGACCTGGGAGGCTGAGGCAGGAGGTTAGCAAGGCCCTAAGCAACTTAAAAAGACCCTATCTCTAAATTTAAAAAGAGGGGCGGGGGATATGGCTCAGTGGTCAAGTGGCCCTGGGCTCAATCTCTGGTACCATTAAAAAAAAAAAGAGGCACCGTGATTCCTCAGCTCACACAAGTGCCCTGGTGTTTCTCACGTCAATACCCTCTGCCGTTCTCTCTCGCACTGTCTCAGTTCTAATGAAACCATGTGTGCTTCCTGTCACAACCCCCACCCCAACTCCCACTGCAGCAGAAACACCAACGGCATCTCATCCCGGGGACTGGAGAACAGAAGGCACCCAGATCATGAGGTGATGGCTGCGGCACAGAGCAGAGCTTGGAGCTGTGAGGGGGGTGAGCACCCAGATCAACCCAGGGAGGCAGGGAGGGGGGGGGGGGTCCCCAGGGGTGGTCCTGCTCAGCTGAGCCTGAGGATAAGGATTCCTGAGCCAACCGCGGGAAGAAGTGAGGAGATGCACACTCAAGGCCGAGAAGAGCTTTGGGGAATTACTTTGGAGGAATAGGAAGTAACCCCATGGGGCTGACGTTACCTGAGCGTGCGAGCCTAAGGGACATGGCTGAAGAATTAAATCGGAGCCAGACTGGGAGGCCTCCCAACCGGAGGAGCAGCTTATGGGCTGCAGATGTGCTGACCTTCAGGCCCCAGGACCTGGTTCAACCCCCAGCACCACCAAAAGAAGAACCAAAGGAGGGGCTGGGGCTGGGCTGGGGCCGAGCGGAGCGCTTCCCTAGCATGCACAAGGCACTGGGTTCCATCCCCGGCCCCACATGAGAGTGAACAAATAAAACAAAGGTATAAAAAAGTGTTGCATCTGTTTAAAATTTTTTTAAAAATAAAATAAAAAGAACAAAAGGATTGAAGCAGGAAAGTGACCTCTCTGTCGTTGCTGCTGTTCTGTTTTAGATCTCATGACAGGGGGGTGGATTTTGACGTGTCACACACACATGGAGTACGACCTCCCGTTCTTGCGGGTGTACGTGATGTGCAGTCACGCTGGTCGTGTGCTCCGACACGGAGACAGGAAGGTCCTGCCCAGTCCTTTCTACTGCCTTTCCCACTCCCACCCCCCTCCCCTCCCTTCATTCCCCTGGTCCAGTCCTATGAACCCCCTCATTGAATGTCAGCCTCCTCATATCACAGAGAACACTCCCTTTGGTTTTCAGGATCGGCTTATTGCACTTAGCATGAGGGTCTCCAGGACCTGAAAAGGTCCGCTCTGGCTCCAGCATGAGGCTGAGGTCGGAGACGGGAGGTCAATTTGGAGGCTGCTGCAGCAATCCAGGGAGCCGATTAGGACTGAGGCAGGGAGAAGGAAAGGAGGAGGAGGAGATTAGGGAGGCATTTAAAGATGAGGTGACAGGGCTGGGCTGGGGCTCAGTGACAGAGTGCTCGCCTCGCAGTGTGAGGCACTGGGTTCGATCCTCAGCACCACATAGAAATAAATAAATGAAGATATTGTGTCCATCCACAACTAAAAAAAAAAAAAATGGTTGTCAGACCTTGGTGACAAGATGGGGTTCAGAGAGAAAACAGGTAGTCCCCGAGTTCTTGATTTGAGCAGCTTGCTGGACATTCATTCTGCAAGACAAGGAAATCAGGAGGGAGGAAGGATCTCCACTCACTGATAGGCTGAGGTCCTGGGTCTGTGAGCCAAACAGAGAGCACAGGTCAGACAGGCCTGGGGCTCCGGGAGAGAGGCCGGCAGGGGGGCAGATTGGTTCAGAAAAGAATTATCAAGCAATTGATGCCCACAAATGTCAATATCAAGAGGACCAAGAGAGACGGTGTGTGAGAAGGGTGGATACCGCGAGGATTTAGAGAGGGGTGCTTGGATCACCTGAGATCTCCAGGAAGCTTCCCAAGGGTTGGCAGGATGAGGGTGGGAAACACGGAGTTTGGAGTTGATGGATGAGGGGCAAAGTGGGCGCAGTGGGAGCGAAGGCTGGACGGCAGATAAAGACCAGGTCATAGAAGCCTGTATACAGTGCTGTCCTGGCAACTTGGGATTGAATCAGAAGATATTGTGTAGCATAACTGAACTATGGGGCCAGCCTAGGTGCCCTGCAGTAGACGAATGGATAAATAAAACGTGGCATACATACACAATGGAATATTACTCAGCCATAAAGAAATTTTGGCTTTTTGCCAGTAAGTGATGGAACTGGAGGCAATCACGCTAAGTGAAATAAGCCAATCCCAAAAGACCCAAGGCCAGTGTTTTCTCTGGTATGGGATGCTGACTCACAGTTGGAGGGTGGGTAAGGAAGAATAGAAGTACTTTGGATTAGACAAAGGGGGATGAAGGGAAGGGAGGGGGAAGGGGAATAGGAAAGACAGTAGAATGAGTCGGACATCACTATCCTGTGTGTGTACATGATTACACAACCAATGTAATTCTCCACCATGTACAACCAGAAGGATGAGAAGTTGGGCTCCATATATGTATAATGTGTCAGAATACATTCTAGTATCAAGAACAAATAAAAAATTAAAAAAGAAGTCATTGTGTAGCTATTGGAGGAGTTTTAATCAAAGTATTGACGTGGTCCGATGTCTGACAATATTGTCTGAGGGAGACAGACATATTTATTTCCCCAGCAGCTACTGTCCCCCTTTCTCCTTGTAACAGAACCAAAGTTAGTTCAGGCACTTCATTCCCCCAGTGACCGTGTGTCTTAGAGGAGGAGGACCCCATCACCAGTCCTGGGAACTAAAACTTAATTGGTCTAATGCTACACGGCCGTGCCGTCTCCTTAACAGAGGCTGGACCAGGATGCACAAGTGATAGCTAATAAGATGGAAAGGGAAGCCTGTAAGAGGCTTCTGAGAAAATTCTCTTTGATGCTGGATGTTTCTGGGTCTTTATGTGATGCTGGGACCTCTGGGGCTACCTCGAGACTCTGAAGGGAGCCAGCTTGAAGATAGCAGAGCAAGATGATGAAGGAAAGTGAGGCGCTTGACAACATCACTGAGTCGTGGAATCAGCCATCTCAGAACATGTCTTCCTTCCCATCTTCTGACTCTAAGATCTTCTTACTCTACAACCTTTTGTGTTGAAACCAACTTGGGTTGCATTTTCTGTTACTTGCAGTCAAAATCATTATTGACACAGAGCGCAAGAATGGCAGTCATGCAGGCACTGTGGCACACACCTGAAATCCCAGCTACTGGGGAAGCCGGGGCAAGAGGATTGATTTCGAGTTCTAGACCATTCTGGGCAACTCAGTGAGGTCCTGCCTCAAAATAAAAAATAAAATGCCTGGGGTTGTAGCTCGGTGGTAGAGTGCTTGCCCAGCATGCTCAAGGCCTTGGGTTCTAGCATCAGTACTGAAGGGGAAAATAAAGGAGTGGAAGTCATGATGCTTAGGCAGGAAGCCATACGAAGACGATCATAGCGTAATGCCTGTGGTTGAAGCTACCGTGAACTTGAGGCCCTCGGGGAGGGTAGGTGAAGTAGAGTGAGAACTCGGGGGAAACAGATGCTTGAGGAAACAGCAATTAAATAGTAAATTAAGGAGGCCGAGAAAGAATGCTAAAAACAAGGTAGGGTAGGAAAATAGTAGAGCATCAAACATCAGAAGAAGTGATCATAGGCATCCTAGAGAGTGGAGAGGTCAAGCCAGACGAGAACTGTAAAACAGCCCCAAGGAATTCACAAATGACACTTGCAAAAGCTGAGTCTGTGCATCTGGTGAGAAAGAGTGAGAGGAAACCTGATTGCAGTGAGAAATACATGGAAGTTAAGAAAGTGAAGCTAATAGTGTATTCACGACTCTCGATTTAGAACTTAGTCACTAAAAAGAGGAGACTTCTATATGGAGAAGTTAGAGGGAAATGCAAACAGGGTGAATTAGATATCACTGCATTACAAATTACCCGAGAACTTAGTGGTTTAAACAACAAGCATTTATTATCAAGTCTTTTTTGGGTCAGGAATGGGGTGGAGCAAGGCTGAGTGGTTCTGTTTCAGGGTCTCTCGAGAGTTTACAGGTTCAAGCAAGGCACGGTAGGACAAGCCTGTAATCACAGTGGCTCAGGAGGCTGAGGCAGGAGGATCACAAGTTCAAAGCCAGCCTCAGCAACTTAGCAAGGCCCTAAGCAATTTAGTGAGACCTTGTCTCTAAATAAAATATAACAAAAGGCTGGGGATGTGGCTCAGTGGTTAAGTGCCCCTGGATTCAAAAAAAAAAAAAAGGAGTTTTCAGGTTCATTTTCTAAGTCTTTTTTTTTTCTTTCTGTATTTCTATTTGTGTGTCTTCAAGTTAACTCACTTGCTATTAACCCATTTCAATATATTCAGTGATCTTCAAGGGGTCTGACATGTGTGGTTGAAGTCCTAGAGGAAAGAGGGAGGTGGGAACCGAAAAAAAAATATTTAATAAATTAATGGCCAAAATTATTCAGAATTTTATACTATAAGTTCCCAGAACCGAGAATCTCGATAAGCCCCAAGCACAAGAAACATGAAGAAAATTACTAAGGCTTGTTATAATCAAATAGCTCAAACCAGTGATAAGAAGGAAATCTTCAAAGCCATGAGACATTACATACAGAGGAACCAAGAAAGACATGAGAGCAGACTTCCTGTCGTAAATAATGCACCAGGGAACGACGGAACAGCATCTTTAAAGTACTGGGGGGAAACTGTCCACTTTGAATTACAGAATTAAAAAATATCTTTCCATGGGCTGGGGAGGTGGCTCAGAGGTAGAGCGCTCGCCTGGCATGCGCGGGGCGCTGGGTTCGATCCTCAGCACCACATATAAATAAATAAATAAAGTTATTGTGTCCATCTACAACTAAAAAATATTAAAAAAAAATATATATATATATATATATATATATATATCTCCAAATAATCCAAAAGTGAGGGGGGAAGTAATAAAGACTAGAAGAGACAAACAAAAAAAAATCCTCAATGGTACAGAAACCTTAACACAATCCACCAAGTTGATCTAATTGACACTTATACAACCCTTCACCCAACAACAGTCTTATTTTCAAGTGCACATAGAAACGCCACCAAGACAGGCCATATTCAGGGTCATCAAACAAGTCTCAAAGAATTCACAAGGATTCAAGTCCCATAAAGTATTTGACCATAGCAAAATCGAATTAAAAATCAATAACAAAAAGATCTCTGCAAAATCCTCAAACATTGAGAAACTAAATAACACACTTCCAAATAATCTGTAAGCCAAAGAAGAAAAGAGGCAAGAGAGAAAATAGAAAGTGCTTTTAATTGAATGAAAATTAAAACACAGCAAGTTTATGAGCTGCCACCAAGCAGTACTTGGAGACACATCTGGCACCAAATGCCTGCACTGAAATGTCTCCAATAAATGACTTCTCCTTCTACCCTAAGAAATTAGGTAAAAAGAGAGCAAATTAAGCCTTAAGTAAACGAAAGAAAGATTTGTTAGCAAGCTCTCTGTGGTTGTGAAGGAATACCTGAGAATCACAACTTAGAGATGGAAAGATTTATTTTGGCTCCTGGTTCCAGAGGCTCGGTCCATGGCTGGCGGGCCCCATTGGCCTGCTCGTGGGCTGCGGCAGAACACCGTGGTGGAAGGGTGTGGCAGAGGGCAGCTTCTCAGCTCATGGCAGTCAGGAAGCAGGAAGAGTGCAGGCAGGGGCCAGGGTCAAGATATACCGTCCAGACCAGCCCCATTGACCCAATTTCTCTAGCTGGGCCCCACCTTCTTCAGTTTCCACCACC